CCTCTCTCCTTTTTCCTTTTCCCTTCCTCTCCCCCTCCCCTCTCTCTCTCTCTCTTTTTTTCCACTCGTTCGAACGTTCACAAAGCGTGTCATTAGTATAACTTTTTCACGACGCGGAGTTGGAACAAGTTGAAACGATGGGGACCGGATTTTTATATTCGGTTAAAATAATGAAGTTCCGGCGCGCGAGAGCCGGCCGCGTGAAAAAAAGTTCGTGATCGCGATCCTCCGTGTTTCCTCCTCACCTCACCTCACCTCACCTCACCTCCCCACCCCTCGCCCCGATCGACGATAAAACGGCGATGAAACGACGATGAAACTCGTCGCACGATTGTTAGCACCATCTCCCCTCCCTCCGCTGGAATTTCAATATCCATTCCCCCGAGTTTTCGTTCGATCGATCGTGTTCGAAATCGACGAGCGGAACGCGTCGATTTATCATAAACGGGGGGGAGGGGGCAATCGAAATACCACCCACGCACGGAAGGATCAACGATTACGAAAACGAGGAATTATCGAAAAAAACAATTGCTTTCCAATCCTTTTTTCTTTTTCTTTTTTTTTTTCGAGACGAGATCGATCGATCGATCGATCAATGGACTACGAATCCCCTACGCTTCTCAAACGAGCGATTGGATCAATTTTCGATGAGAAGATAAAAAGAACGAAAGGAAGAAGATATTAGCGATGAAAGCTAACGGACGATTTGCAGCGGTAAATCACCCATCTACCTAGCTCTCTTAATAACACCGTTCTCGCTGATACGAGTGATATTTTCATCGTTTCGTCGAGCGACGACAACGTTTCGAGGTTAAAGATTAATCACTCGACGCGGTAAAATGAATTTTTTTCTCCCCTTCTCTCTCTCTCCCCCCCGCCCCCTCCCCCGCCTCAAAATATGCACGCCACGAAGGCGCGTACAGGGTCGTGTTATATAAAGTTCGTTTATTGGCACTCTCCCATCCCGCCGCCCACCTCGTTTCTCCCAGCTCGTTCTCCGTACGTACGCTCGTTACGCCGTTCGACCTCCGCGCGATAAGTCATCGGTTGACAAGTAATATTTTTATCGTTTCTGAGAGTGGCATTGTTCGAAAAATGATTAATCGTCCCCCCCCCTGTCCGAGATTGTTATCGATGAGAGATAGAAAAGAAGAGAGAGAGAGAGAGAGAGGGGCCGAGCGGCGATCGGTCGTTTGATCCACCGTCCTCTCCTCTCCCCCCTCTTAACCCACCGCCGTATCTAGCCCCGTGGGTTAAACCTCGCGTTAAAAATAAATAATTAAATTCTCATCAGGGACGAGAGATATCGATCATCCCAAGCCCATCCCATATTGCTAATTGTCCGTTTCCGGCTGCTATGTTACAGGGGTATATTGCAGCAGGGGAGGAGGAATTACGAGGAGGCGATTCTCAGTTATCAGCGGGCGATCCATTTCCGGCCCTCGTTGGCTCGTAAGTATTTCCTTTATTTTCCCCGTCGAGCATTTACGACGAGAGGCTCGATCGGCAGTTTCTCCGCTCTTCCAGATTTCTCTCTTTTTCTTCTTTTTCTTCTCTCTCTCTCTCTCTCTCTCTCTCTCCCCCCTTTTCGCAATGAAGGAGAGAAAGAGGGAAAGGCCGACCATGTTAACGATGTTGCGAGGTTTTGAATTAGGTAGGAAACGTAATTCGAGAGGTGTACCATTAACGAACCGCGAGTTATCGCGGGTTATCAATTAGGGCGAATCAATCCTTCGATCGAACGAGGAAGAACGACCCTTCTTCTCCCCTTCGCTCGAGAAGAACCTTCTCGTTTGCGCGCAAGAACCGCGTACGCGACTTTAACGAGAGCTCCTCTCGTCGAATCACTTCCAGTATTATTCGAATTTCTAGTTATCCGTTGCTTCAAAGCGATCCGGTATCGGGATCGATGACGAACGACGTCTACGTTATTCCTGTTTCCATTAGCAAAAAACGCCACTCGTCAACAACACACAGTTTCGTTTAGTTGAAAATTAATCCTACGGTTCGAGGATCTTGATCGAGGCTTAACTTCATGTAACGCGAAAATTTCACGAGAGACACTTTAAAAGATACGTTGAAGCCTCGAGGAGGAGAAAGCCAGCACTGATCGTGTTTGCCCGCTACATGTATATATATTTACCTCGACGATATACCGGTTAAAATCCAAAGTCGTCTTTCGTCCACGTATCCCAGCCTACGTAAATATTATTCCCATTTATTTCACGGCGCGGTTTCGCGGTTCCCGTTGTCCGACTTTCCTCGACGAAATACCTTCTGGAAATATCAACAACTTTTCTCTCTCTCTCTCTCTCCCGTCCACCACCTTGCCATATATAAACCGCAGAGCTGATACCACCACGTTTCATCCCGACGATGATTCTTCCACGAGGATTTTTCCTCCATCTCATCGATGCCTCTTCCCACGTCCACGCCCCTTTTATTGGAAAAAACAATGTCAAATTTTTTCCCGCGCAAAATTCCCGATAGGCGTGGAACCGCAGGGTAGATCGGTCCGTTTTCTTAACGAGGTGGAGAGGCGTCGTTTGTCACGACGATTTACTTGATGGGAACGGTTCATTGCCGAGTTCCGCGATATCTTTGGTTATTCCATCATTGCGTTGTTACTCTCGTTGCGAATATTTTTCGTCCAATCGAGTTTAAACCTTTGCACTCGTATATTATTTTTGTAATCACATTCTCTGTTAAATATAAATACGAGCGCAAAGGCTTTAATCTTTTGTTATTTTTAATTGATAGGTTCTTTATCTTTTTTTTTTTTTATAAGAGACAAGGCACATTCTCCTTGTCTTCGATGTTGGTTCGGATTCGACGATCGTGGCAGAGCGAAGATGAATTTAATTTTGAACTGTTGAGAAATAAGATCGATTGTTGCTCGATCAATTCTTATTATATTGTTTGTTAAGTTAGCGAAAAAGCAGATCGATTTTTCGAGAACCGCAAAGATCGAGTTTCCACATCGATCGATGAAATTCGATTGAATGGGAAGCTTCTTGTGTGTATGTGTGAATTTAACGAAAAAAGATCCGGTGAAAGAAGGTCCGGATAAATCAAGAATCCATTTCTGCAAATGCTTTATAAATTATCACACACACACACGCACGCACACACAAAAATACAGAAATTAATGTTAATAGAAAATCATCGTTGGTTAACGTTGAATACATGGACAGAGAAGAAAATAGTTTCCGAAGAATTGTTTAATCTTCGACGAGTGCCTCGTTATTTTTCCAACTTTCGAAAGTTTCGTTGATCCATTTTGTTCCGACTGATGGCCGATACGTCGTTCCGCTTCGACGAAAGTAGGGTAAGACGGTTACGTTGCAAGACAGATATCGTTAAACAAGCGTTAGTTTCTGGAACGACGAGACCCAACTCGTGTCGAGAGACCAGCGAGAATCGTTGGAATCGTTTAATCAACCGGTGGTCGGATTTCATCCGAGATTCGGTTGAACTTGGGTCTCTTCGATCGGCCGCCTAGCTGAAACGAACCCGAAATAATATCTCGTTTACTATCCCCTCCCTACTATCCTTCGTTCGCCACGTGATGTTATTTCCGAACGAGTCGAGTTTTCGAGAAAGAGAAACGACGAAAAAGAAGAAGAAGGAAGAAGAAAAAAAAAAGCAATAAAACTGCGCCACACGCGGCACAGATTTAAGCAGGCGGAAAGAGCGGCCGCGAGTAGTTATTTTAAGCGAGGAGTGGAGAGGGGAGAGGGAAGAAGTTTGTCAATGCTGTTTACACGGTGAATATTCGCGGAACAATTGTAACGCGATTTGGGGCGCGGAAAATATGGCGTGAGGAGAGAGCGTGGCCACGGGGGAGGGGGGGACGAGAAGCATTTTCGTGTCCGGCCGCTCGAAACGCCATTTGCATCCATAAACGGATTAGCCGGCGAGCGTATAAAGCCTGCAAGAATACTCTCGTCCACTCGTCAGATTTGATCTTCGTCCGCCTGCTAATTAGCCCGCCTGGATCCCGCCTCGTTTCGCCCCATTCCCGGCTTATCTCGCGCCGTTTTATCATCGTGATTCACGCGTATCTCGCTTATCTCTGTGTCGAACACCCCGTTGTAACTTTCAAGAGTTTGCGCGTTCGATTCGCGTCTCTTCATCGTCGCCCCCCTTGGATTATTGGATACTATTGTTGTTAGAGAGTAGAGAGAAGTGGGAAGGAAAAATATACGCAAGCAAGGTCGAGTCGAAATTTTTCCCGTGATTTTTCCTTTAAATGAAACTCGAACAAATGTTAGCGCAATTTACGAGAACAAATGAACATAAAATGTACAGTAACGGTTATTGTTATTTGCAATGTAATTATTGTTCGCGCAAACATCAATATTTTGAATCGCGAAATCGAATCCCGTTTTTCGGATAATCCGAAAAAAAAGAGAAAGAACATCGAGACGAAACAACCTCGCCAAATCTTACGGATTTACGACACTTTTCAAGCCAACTCGTCGTCGTCCGTAATCGAATTCGCAGCCAAAGGGTGTCGAAACTTTCGTATCTCGGAATAATAATCAGAAGGGGTGGAGGGGAGGGTATTAGCAGTTGTTGGCTCGTGAAGGTTCGTTAAATCTCTCCCTTTTGCGGTTTCTCCCCCCCTCTCCCCCTAGAAATAAATCCTCTCGCTAAGATCTCTCGCCAGAAAAATGGACGAAGGATGGTGGGATAAACGAATGGATATCGCGAAAGCATTTACCCCGCGTATGTGTATTAAAAAGTTTGGCCAAGTTGGGGAACCGATAATTCGACCGATCCTCGTCGAATAGTATAATTTCATCGACGTCGTAAAAATTTCGTCGCGTCTCGGAACGATACTCCGAAAAGTTGGAATTTTTTTTCGAATCACTCAATCGCTGCTTTTCCTTGCAAAGATGAAATTAAACCCTCGAAATTGGACGGTCGAGTCGAACAATGAAACGCGACATCAATCAAAGAATTCCACGCGCGGCAACGCTCTCGAGAATCTGGCAAGAATATTTCCATCGATTTCCACGTCTTCTCGTATCCCCCACGAGACGAATAAATTGGAAGGAAAGCTGGAGACACGGATCTCGGGATATATATATATATTCGTGAGTAAAAGTTTCTCGAAATACGCGTTAAATTGTCCTGATATCCTTTGTTGTCGAGTTTCGATCGAATTCGACGGGATGGAAAAGATCCTTCCTCCCACTTCTTTCTCTTTCTCTCTCTCTCTCTCTCTCTCTTCGATCGAAAACGAAGAAACGGTGGAAGAAAACGGTAAACAGTGGGATTGGAGGCGACGCAGGAGGCAACTTATCGGCAACGGAATTCTCAATTTGATCGTGGCGATGCTTCGGGAGCGTATCAATTCGGTCGACGTAACTGATAAACACAGAGCAAACATTGATTCGTCCAATATTGACGGAGGCAAATGCAAGAAACGACGGCGCGAATATAAACGTGCCGCAAACGGAAGGGGAGGAGACCTGCTCCGTCGTGTGTACCTTTGTTTTTACACCGTGCCGTGTTCTCGCTCTTGTTATTCGATTCGATAAACGTTGAATTACTCTCGGATCCGTTGTTGGAACGGATGGAGACACGTGTTCCACGACACGCGTCCGATTAAATAAAAGGAAACCCGAGGGAGGAGTGAGTTAAACTCGGTCGTGAATCACGTCCACGATTGGCGTTCCTTCCCAAGGTGGAAGGGGAGGGGGGACGAGAACAAAGAGGGAAAGTTTCGTGAACGGGACGAGCAAAGTATTGACCTTTAACTTCAACCGCGTTCCAACCAAGGTAAACGAAGGTAGGGGGAGGGCAAATGAAACACGAGTGGCCCTTTCAGCTACTTTTAATTATAATCCAAGCTTTAAATTGCTCGCGAGAAGTGGAACGACTTTCGATTGTTGTAGCCCCTGAACGAGCGCTACCGACCACGTCTCGATGACGTGGAGGGAATGAGAGGAGGGAGGGAGGTAGGTTGGCGATGAGACGAGGGAGGAAGGGTGGCAAAGGAAAAAAGGAACGACGTCGAGAGCTCTTTGTAGTAATTTTCGCGCCTCCTGCGCGGAAAAATTCGAAGCGAAGGAAAAAGGAGGAAGAGAGAGAGAGAGAGAAAGAGAGAGGGAAAAAGAGGAGAGAAAGAAAGAAGAGTGTTTCTGCCCGGAGGAGTTTTCCGAGCGGAGCGCCACAATTAAACGTACGACCGCGTTGAAATCGTTACGTGTACGTGGAGGCTGCTTAACCGTGAAGCGTGCATCGCGTAACCGGCTAATAAGGGTGGAGCAGCACTTTCATGGATAATCGCCTTCCATCCCCCTCGAGAGAGAGAGGGAGAGGAGACAAACGCTTCGAGTGGCCGGCGAGTGTGTTTGGGGAGGGAGGAGGATAAAAAGCCACGATATCGCGCGCGCGCTAATAAACGTGCATTATTAATAAAAGTACGACGGCCGGTTCTC